TAGCCCTCAAATATCAAAACTTGAGATTTTTTATACATCATAAGTGTTCTATTCTTTTGTTTCCAAACTTTATTTTGGGTGTTAGTGTTTTCCTTAAGTATAGTAGTAGTTTTTACATAATATCAGCAATCAATAAAATATATAACATAATTCTCTTTAAACAGAAATATGCTTTTTTAATTCGTTCGTTTAAAAATTTATAATATACAAATTACAATTCTTCAAATGATATTCAGTTCAGCTTCTATATCATTCGCCATATTACTCCTTAATAGAACGTGTACATCTCTATAATAATATCAATCATATAATTATTGACACTAGGTTCACATGATTAGTTGTTATTAGTTTGATTATACAAAGTCAATTCTTTGTTTTTGCAAAAAAAATGTAGATTACAGGATTAATCCATCACTACACAACAGAATTGTTTTGTCAGCATTAGATTTTATGTTTCCTAAAGTGTATTGTATCCTAACTCATGCTGAAATAGACGACAGTTAATGTAAATTATTTCTTCACAATGTAGTTATAATTCAGTCAATATGATATTGCAATATATAAAATATAAGAATTCGCTATTTTCATTTCTCTTATAGTTAAATCTACAATCTACTAACACCAAATGCATTCATATAAATACTCAGTATTTTCGTATTTCTCTACAAAGAAAGGAAGAAATAGTATCAGTCATGTTATGTAGTATCTCCAAATTCTGTTGTTTCTCGTAAAGTATTACTAGAATAGCCCTAAAAATATTTTAACAATACATTTTTTACGATTTTAGTAACATATTTACAGGCATAGAAATGCTTACAAAAAGAGAATTATTAATCATGTAACATCTTTCCTTATTATAATTTCCAAAGATATCATTGTATATATGTATAATTATCGTACAATAGTCAACCATTATATGCGATATCACGATAAAAATTATTACAGTTTTGTTTTATAGTACACATATAATTTATTATTTAAGCCTGGGGTTTGACGTTTATTACACCTACTTCACATTATTTTAGGAAAAATCTTAGTACCAAAAATTGATTCGACGAGGTTTAGTCTCAAATGACCATATCTAAACAAATTCCATAGAAAGCTGAAAAATTCTGAAAAAACTTTGTACCTACTTACCGATGTTACAATATATGATATAGAACATCTGAGTATTGAAAGGACAGCATTGTTTTAAGAGATTACACATGTAGATTGTGAAGTAGTATTTTCCATATTATTGAGATTGCTGTAACTACCTCGAAAAGTCACGTCTTCAACGTTTAAAGGTAATTCGTGGGATCGTTCTTCCTCTAGTGCAGCAGTTGTTGAAGTATGACTAATAGAGGAGTGCCGAGATCGAGATAAATTTCCTCTTTGATTGCTACTTGCAGATGGTGCTGGACTAGGAGAAGGACTCTCCGGTATCTGCTCTTGTTCTTGTTGTTGTTTTGTTACAACTAGTCTGTTCAATAAAGAAATTTGACCTTGTATACTTGACATAAATGGTCTATACCCCAAACTGAAATCCAAATACAAATTATCTTATTTTTGTATTACATTTTCTTAAAGAAGCATTACTTATATAATACGTACCATTCAGAGGTAGACCACCTAGTTAGTATAAAAAGACCATCTCTTAAATTAATTACAGAGTCAAAGGTTTGCATAGGCGCATGTGCTGCTCTGATAGTTCTAGCCATAGCAGGTGCATCGCGTAAAACTGTTGCTAATACTGCAGCCCATCCTAAGCAACCACCTTCCAAAAATAATTGTAAAAGATATCTAAGTTGTACTTCTGCACGACTTATAGGCGCACAAGGTGAAATGTTATGAACTTCCGTTTGTTCTATCGGATCTGGTGATACCCAACAAACTGTTCCAACTCCAGTTCCAACGATTGATTCGGTATCATCTCTCCAAATAGTACTACTATCACTAAGAACGCTATTAGCATCTGAAAATGCAAAAACGAAGATAGTTTCCTAATTTACAATAATATGATTGTTATGCTTGTGTTTAATACATAAGAGGATACAATTACCATGTAACATATTTGCTGCTAATTTTGTTTCCGTAGCGGGAAATTGTGTTTCTAAACTTGCAACGGGAGAAACCAATGTAGTATAAGGTGGTCTTCCGCTTGGTAAGCTAGTGTAACCACTATCTGGCAAATCAACGGCAAAACTGGAATTTAATGGTTCTTCTTCTGGACTTTCCAAACTGACTGATCTTATAGAACGTAAAGAAGTAAGGCTAGATCTCCGAAACTTTTGTAAAGTTGGAAGAGATAGCACAGGATATGCAAATAGAAAATCTTCATGTACTGCTTTCAATGCCGTAACATAATCATCTATTTTTGCTGCCCTATCGCGTTCTCTAGCAAACCACGTAACTAAATGAAAGTCTAATCGTGCAGCGAATCTGCCTAAATCTGCGAGTCGTTTCGCTGAAAGTAATCGACGAGCATGACGCTGTAGAATTACGTCAATAAAAAATTCTTCTGCTGAGCCTTCTCTGAAAAACAATAAATGTTTTATTTCTGCATTAATAACATACTTTCGTAGCTTTAATCAGTATTTATTTTAAGGTTAAATATAAAATTTCTAAAACATACTTGTTCTCAGCCTTTTCAGTTTTAGAAGCACTTGTAGGTACAGATTTCTTCCGCCTCATAACTACATTTCTAGTTTTTTCTAGCATTGAAGACGGAGCTATATCTTTGGCCACGGAATCAGATTGTACTTTAGGTGTCACTGTAGTACTGTAACTTCGACTTCTCGAAACCTGCATAGTTCCTAACACTAAAGATAAGTCATCTTCATGAGGTGAAAGTGGTGGGGTTTGTGGAGGGCCTCCTAATTTTGATGTTCCACCCCACGATGTTCTTGGCGATTCCACATCGTTTGGATCTTATGAAAAAGAAAATATATGAAAACAATGAAAACACGATATACAAGTGTAATATATTATTTGTATGTTACCAATCGCTCTGAGAAAACGAACAAGATCTTTTGAAAGTTCCCATCTTCCTTGTTCTAGAGCAGCATCTAATAACAAAGTAGCATGTTGTCGACTAACAATTGATGGTTCAAGGTTCTGCAAAATTATTAAGTAACTAGCAGCAGTATCGAGTTGTTGACGTTGCAAACAATCTTGCAATAGTTTCTTCGGCGGTCCAGCAACACAAAATAAATAAGGCCAGAGTGCTATTTCAGTCTTTCTGGCACATTGTACAACTGCTCTAGCCCACACTCCTGGAAATTCACGAATGAACTCCACCACGGAAGGCAACTGAGCATCCGGGATTGGTTCTTTACTAGTGGCTTCTTCTTCTAGTACCTCATGAAGTAACAGTTCTAATGAATGTGGAAAGTATGGCAGTGCAGAACAAGAACGAGCAATTTCCCATGCATGATAGCCCAAATTACGGTGGATAAGTTGTCGTAATATTTGATGAAGATAAACTTGACTCTAAAATTAAAGTAATACTTGAAAATTTTCAATCGATTAGTGAAAAGTATTTAAATAGTATTACACTTACTGTAAGTTCTAATAAACTGAATGGCAACGAAAATGGAGAGTTAGTATCCGAAGTAAAAAGTACTGTATCATTTTCTGCTCCTAATAAAATAGCATCCTCGAATAATATAGCTAACGGATAAATACGTAAATGAAAAGGCAACATTATTCTCTTGCTCATAAATGTATGCGTTTTTTCTTGATGATTTCTTGGAAACAGTGGAAGCCAAACACGCATGCCGTGAGCACCGCAAAATAACCATAATGCTTCTGTTAAATGTGGTTTATCTCTTCTTGATCTCCATGGTACCCAAACATTTTCTACATAAGAAGCTAATACTGTTGGAGCACTGCACGTAAACAGCTGTAAAGTATAAACAAATTAGAAAAAAATTATTTATGTTAATTATAAAAATATTATTCACATACAACTTCTGAGTTATCAGTACAATGTTCTCGTTGAACCATAAGGAGACGCCCTGATACGTTTAACAGAATACTTTCAGGATGTGGATGACTTCCAGCTGTTTCTGCACGAATAGTAGTTAAAGTGGCACTGACAACACAAGCAGGGTGAACACAAAGTCCACTGATATCTACAGTTTGTAATCTCGTTAATTCTACACTCCCTGCATCTAAAATAATGATGTTTTAAGCACAATTTTATTATTTATAATCCATAAAGTTAACCTACCCTTTTTACTAACCATTATTGCTTTCTATTACCATATCATAAATGCTAATTTGTGCATTGGCACAAAATGTTAAAAGCCTGTCTTTTAATGTATTGAGCAGTAACACCTGTGATGGCATTCTAACAGTTCTAACATAATTATTATCCAAACGTGTATCACGTGGATATATTCTAACTTCATCTTTGTCATCTAATATTGAATAACTACTGGCTATTAAAAAACCTCGATGCCACAATAATCCTCCTGTTACGATAAAATCACGCTCTTGAGTTTCATTGCCAAAAAGTTTCCATTTCCGTGAAGGTAAAGAATAATGAGCTAACCCTGTACGTCCAGCTACAGCTATACTTATACCTTCATTATCAATAGCAGTATACTAAAAAAT